TTTTTTAAAAATCAGTAAAAAAAAAAAAATTAATAAATAAAAATTTTTAAAAAAAAGAGAATAAAAAAAATATTAGTTATATGTAAGTAAAAAAAAAAAAAAAATCCCGTTTTTAGAAAACGATAATAAAATCACTTTACTCTAATTCATAAGTGACGATAATGTCATTTCATATGACAGTTATCGTGAAAAAAAATACATCTATGTACATAAAAATCTGATTTTCATCGAACTACAGTACTAAAAAATATTTATAGAGATAATACATTATAAAATTCAGTGAAGTTAAAAATCATAATTCATAGACAAAAATACAGTATATATCGTGAATTTTTCAATAAAGACGTGCTAGAAAAAAACCATTATTATATCATAATCAACGAATCATTTTCATTATGCGTTATGTTCATATTTATATTCATAAATCAAAAATCGCTGCTAATTTTTGATGCAAAAGAACTCAGAATACGTATATATTCAAATGAAGATTAACATGTTTATTTTTTTCAAATAGCATTAGTTAAAGAAACAATATCTAAACGTCAAATCATAAAACGAACATAGACACAACACAATCGGGTCTCTCTAAATGCACCCCAAAATGCAATACCTTTCTAAATGCAACCTTTAACTCTGGCTCAAATATATACCAAACTTCATAAATGTAATTTTTCTTATTGTTCTTTAAGTGCAAGCTGACAAAAGTTTGGTCTATTTAAAGAGGTTTGACTGTAGTTATAAATACTGTGATGAAATTGTGCTAAAAAATCAATAATGATAATAGAGATAGTTACATAAATTTAATTGCATAAGTTATCCTTATTCTCGACTAATTCTAATATCCATACGACAAGCCGTCTCTTATTTCAGAGAAAAGCGTGCCTTTATCCATTTATGAAAAATGCCATTTGCAATAAAAGCTCAATCTGAAGATTATAATATTGTAGTTCTGAAAATATTAGTAAAGATTGTAATGAATGTTGTGCTGATGTTGCATCGACAGAAAATGCTATAGACATTCCTATAGGTAATCCTATTGTTGCGATACCTGCGGTTCCAGCTAAAATGGATCTAATTTTATTGGTTTGCATCTTTTGATTTGAATGATTTTGGATCCAATTGAAATCGAAATGAAATCGATCGAGTTCGAAATAGAAATGGAACCAATCGGATTGATCAAAGTGAAATAGAACCAATCGAATTTGAAATTGGATGAGTTTTTAAAAAAACCAAATATTTAATTCAAAAAAAAAAAACTTTCACAAAAAATGATATCATCCTAATTTTTAATTTATGGTCATGAGATCGGAAAAAAAATTGTTATTTGTATGCATTATTACTGTATTATGTAATTAGACTATTATACCCTTATCGTTATACACAAATAAAAAAAAAAACATGAAATTTGTCATTGTGTTATCAAAGTCTTTCCACAAGTACACAATATAGTTTAACTAGTTATGGATTTTGTGTGCTAATCAGATATTATAGAAAGCACAAATCATGAACTAGATAAGCGTATCAGGGCATTTAACCAACGCGGCCACTATCAGCTATTAGGTTATATGCGTTATCAGTTATATAACGTTTATATAAACCTTTGAAATGGACTACAGCAATTTCAGACAAATTTGTTTAATAAGGCCACGCAAAGAAAAATTTTTTGTTTCTCATAACCCGGCTAGGCCATTGAGCCTTAATAGAGAATAGAGAAATTTAAATTTTATGGGACGCAGTATAAAATTAACCAATCGCAATCGTCAAAATTTGACAAGCAATTTTGTTAATATACTCATGTCTTTGGCACAGGTAAGTTTTGTATATTAATAGCTATACAACACAGGGATGATAAATGACCTGGTCGTCAGATTTTAGGTAGCGCATCCCCGTAATTTATAAAACCACGTTATAATTAGGGTTAGAGCGAGAACAGTGTAAGGTTAAGGTTAGAGTTAGGGTTATTTCTATTAGTAAAATTTCACAAGGAACATTTTTAATTAGGCCGCAGAAAGAGGTTTCTTAATTAAAATTTCGAATTATTTCAGTTTATTTGTAAAAAATGGTTTCGCTTCGTTTGTTTACGTTACACCTGATCTTGAAATTTGATTGGCCAAAAATCACGGGAGGGAAAATTTTTGTGGGGGGACTAGGGTTGGAGGCACGGCAAATTTTTGGGGCATGCCTTTGCGAAGGGCAAGCCTCTCTATGCCCGGGCATGCTCTCTAGATATAAAAGGGGATCCGATCAACTCACTGACAATTACCAACAAGTTTATTTCACCAATAGTTTATTCATTGAAGCTTATTTTACAGACAAAGTAATTCTGGCCAATATCATTAGGGTCATAAAAAAAAACTTGTTTGTGAAATGAGCTTCAGTAACTAGACTGTCGGTAAAATAAACTTGTCAGTGAATGGTCAATGAAATAATACAGATAATAAAAGTATGTACTATAATAGGATATTTGTATTATAATTGGTTAATCGCTAAAATAGCAAATCATACGTTGGCATGCCTCCAACCCTAGTTGGGACACAAAAAATCGTTCACCCCTGTAATTTTGACCAATCAAATTTTAAGATCAGGTGTAATGCGTTAGTTAAAACAAACGTGTTTTAAGTTTCGCGTAAAATTAAACCGCGTTATAGTTAGGGTTATGATGAGAACAGCGTAGGATTAGGATTGAGCTTATTAGTAAAATTTTACGAGGAACATTTTTAATTAGGCCGCAGAAGGTGGTTCCTAATTAAAATTTAGAGCTTTTCTCATTTTTTTGTAAAAAAGTGGCTTCACTTCGATTTTTACATTACACCTGATCCTGAAATTCGATTGGCTCTAAAAAATTGGTTAGATCAATCAATTTAGCAATTTCAACAAAGTCTTTAATAGTCAATCCAACCATAGTTAAAGCTGAGGTTCTTAGTTGTATACCATAGATTTTTTATTGAGATAACGAGATTAGTTCTTATTTAGTAATTTGAATAAATTTATTGATTTGCTTTCTTTGTAAATTGGGTAATTGATATGATAAGCGTTGGAAAAGTACACTATGCTAATTGTTTATTGGCTCGTGAACTAATTGACTAAGGAGAGTCAAATCTTTATAAATAGGAACCAAAAATACCTTGTTAAGTCCTCATACTTTTTATTATCCACTATAATCTTTTTGTCATAACAAAACACTAAGATGGAAAGAGCCAACCAAGAAGAAAATTTGCCTCTTGGACAAGCACAATTGATTGAACGAATAGTTACTCTTGAACGTCGTAATAACCGTCTGAGCTTTGAGTGGATTAAAACACCATTTTTGTTTCTTAGCCCTGGTGTGTGTAGTAACAGTCTATGATATTATATTCAATTTAGTTTTTAAACCTGTTGTATTACAAGATATCAATGACAGGCTATGCTTATTAGAAGCGGTATTTCTTTTTTTCAAACTCGACTTCTTATTTTGGAATGTTGTTTTTATCCCCTTGTTTTCTTTCTTTTGTTCAAACTTTGTATTTGGATTAGAAATCGTTTTCGTCATCAAAATTAAATAACTTCATTGGCAAAATCTGAATAAGATGTTTTTATTTTTTTAAACATTCTTTACCACGCGGTGTGGTATTTATATGCCCTATGCCCTCTATGCTTTTTTTTTCTTATTTAAGTAATTATGCTTTTTATATACCCCTATGCCTTTTTAAGCTTTTATTTATGCAATTTATGCTTTTTTTATACTTTAAGGTTTTTAAGATAAGGCGGCGACTCAGGGAATGAACAATTTATTGTGGGACAGCTAAGGGCATTTGTAAATACATATGCTATGGTGTGGGTGGAATATACCTTTTTGGCCTTGTAGACACATTTTATAGTGAAACTAACTATAATATTCAAGAGTTAATACCGCATTTATTCTTCCGATAAACACAGAATCAGTATGTTGCCTCAAAACACGAATAACTACGTCGCAAACCGAACAATTATAGCCAATCAGAGCTTGAAAAGCATGAAAATAGATGATCTAAAACAAGACACTATTGTTTTGCTGGCCATTTGCTGCGCCAATGCTAATTGTTCAGAAAGTTATTAAAAAAAATTAAAAAAATAAGTAATAGACGAAACTTTCGGTACGCCATTTACTCAAATTAGCATATAATCAAGTTATGTTTTTACACTCTTCCGTGATTAGATTGTAGAAAATCAATTAGAAACTATTAAGACATTATCAGAAATGTCCCAAGCAAGAAAAACAATATATACATCTCATGGTGTTATTTTATCAAAAAAAGTAGCTGGATTTCACCGTTTGGAAACCCTGTCATGCATGTATTATATTATTAGAATTAAGCTAACAACCAATTTAACTTATTTGAAGACCACGATGACCAATCTAATGACAACTCAAACTCACATTTTAATGTACACAAAAAACCTAATGATTATCTAGAAGTAATTTCTTGAGATTCTCTTTATTGATTGTTCTTTTTTATATACATATTCAAAATATTTCGTTTATTTAAAATATTTTCATTATTATTTACAATCTATTACATTCATTGATCGATTAAATTAAAGAACAAATCATTTGATTTGCAGAATTTGTTGAGTGATTCAAAAAACAGAAGAATGTAAGTTATGTTTACCTTTAAAAAGATGGATCATCCCGGTATGCATTTTCGTCGGAAGCTTTTTAAATCAGAATAGAAATCATATTTTTATATAAATAGATATATTATTTGTTTTTTCTTTATTTTCTTGGGCCATTTTTAGTAATGATATCATCGTTTGACTCCGGTACTAATTTGTTTATTTGATAGTTGCTAACGGGTGCATTTATATATTCATCATTCTATGCGATTCATAATTTGTCATGACGCTTCATGAAGTTTTAAATTTGCAAATGATAACACTGTAGACTTGTTACCTCAGAAAGAAGTTCCCATAATCGTCCCGGAGTACCAACAATTATGCTAGGATTCTTTTCAAGTAATCGTTTTTGCTTTTGAATTGCCATACCGCCAACGACTGTCATTATCTAAATATGTGATTCAATGAGAATTGTAAATAACATGTTACATTAAACCCATAGAAAGAATCCTTACATTAATTGTAGCGAATTTTCCAACACTCTGAAGATGATTTTTAATTTGTATAGCTAATTCTCTTGTTGGCGTCAGAATAAGTGCAGCCAATTGCTTTTCGAATTTTTTTTTTTTTTGTTTGATTGTATACTCCAAGATTGGAATTCCAAAGGCAAGCGTTTTTCCAGATCCCGTTTCCGCCTTACCAATGACATCTCGCCCGTTCAAACCTGCATGAAGAGTCTTTTCTTGAATTGGAGTTGGTCTTTCAAACTTGAGGGCTCTCAATCCATTCATTATAGTTGAAGAAAGGTTAAATCCTTTCCAGGCAGAGATATCAATATCTATAATAGCGACATCAATAATCAATAAATTAATGTACTAAGGGAAAAAAAAAATAAAAAATAGATCACCTTCATTTCCAATTTGAAGATTCGAATCTTCATCTTCATCTTGCTCTGATACCAAGTTTTCATTTGAATGAGAAGTAGGCGCCGTGTTAAGGCATGGTTGCTGACTTTTTAAATATAATTGTTCATCAAATGTGTCCAAATCATGATACTTTGATAACTCTTCTATAGGTAATGGTTCGTGAGGTTTAGCAGGTGGATTTTTATGTTCTTATCTTACAAGTAAACTTTTTACAATTAATAGTGAACAGGATGGTAAAATAATACGAGATGATGCAAAAGGTGAATTAATTAGCCATTAGTTTATCAATTAGTATATAATGTTCAATTTCATTAATGGCCGCTTGTCACTTAGACTTTTCCACGAGGCAAACATTTATATTCTCAGCTACTTTGGATAATAATTTAAAAAGTGATATAAACTGGAAAAAAGCACTTGATAGAACTTTGAATTCACAGGGAACAATTGGTAATTAATTTATCTTTTTGTGATATCACTATTTTACTAAAACCTTGATTTTTTTTTACACTTTTATGTACCAAAACAGCTGAGCTGATGGCTAGAATAGAATTCAGAGATTCTAATCCATTATACGTGGATATTACCCCAAAAGGTTCTATTGTAGAAACTTTGCAAGAATCTAAAATTGATTGCTTAGTTAAAGAAAAGGTTTATAATTTCTTAACAAGTCACATAAACATCGCAACATATTAAAACATTTGTAATTACTTAGGATTTATACATGTATTATTTCACTACACGATATCCCGGTAGAACTCTTGTGTTTGTGAACAGTATTGATGCGATTCGTCGATTGATCCCGATAATGAGATTGCTTAATATAGAAGTTTTTGGCCTTCACGCTCAGATGCAGCAAAGACAAAGATTAAAAAATTTGGATCGGTAAGATAAATATGTTGTTTATAATTTGAATAATTCGAGTAATCACATTATTTATTGTCAGGGATGATGCTGAAATTTAGTGTCTCTATTTAAAAATATAAATTCTACTAAAACCCATCTATACTCTTTAATTATAAGCCCTCAGTCATATTTGCTAATACCACATACATTTACTGAGTCTGTTTGTAATATATATCTACATAGTTGTCGGCAATGATGAACTTACCATAATCTTCATTTTCTTCACTGATAGTGACCGTATTTGGATTGTCATATAATTCGATATAGATCTAAATCATTTTATATACATAATAGTTAAATAGAAAATAAGGTGTGAATGATTAATAATGCAGTATTATATTACCTTTATTGCACTTTGTGCAGCACGAAAATAATATGGATGTGAACGCAATTGATCCTCCAGCCGTAGCATACTATTGCGAAATTTAAGGCATGTCATTAAATAAAAATTTTGATTAATAGAGTGCATATCTGTTGATATATACCTCAAGTATGCCCGGAGGGTGACTTTACGTAAGCAATAAGTGTGAAAATCGAATTGATCGTCCGTTATATCAGCAAAATGCTAAATTTTAATATTAAGAATGAATAATGTTTAATTAAACCAATTTATTAACTATAGAGAAATAGAACCATACCTTTTCAATTTGGTGAAAACGTTTTAGAGCTTTACCCCATTTTTTTTGCCTTATATAGCTTTCACCTTCTTCAAGGACAAACCACATGCATTGCATATCTGCAAGATCTGTTAATGGGTCGGGAGCATCACCCTTTAAAAATGCGTACGTAAGACAACTTTCTGGAAACGAACCACCATGGATCTAATACCGCCAGTTATACAAACCCTAGTAAATAATCCGATTTTTTGCTCAGCCTCCTCAGTTTGATCGTTCCTGAGCATGTACTTTGAACATTTAGAATTAATGAATCTGTCTTGAAGGTCCAATTCACGGGCTTCGTTCATTACTTTCATGGCTTCGTCAAGGTTTCCACCATGCTATCATATATACAGAATTTAAATGTTTGTTAATACTCATTTTTCAATTTTTTTTTTCTATATAGTCCCTAAATAGTTGTCAAAAATTCGGACCTTTAGAATGCGGCCCTTTGTCATATATAATTCGACCAAAGTGGGCGTGTGCTCGATTGCTTCATCAATCAACGTGAGGGCTTTCGTTGTATCACGTTTATTGTCGTAATGTTGAGAAAACAAGTAAAGCGTCCATAGATAAGCGGTAGGTGGTTCTTTCACATCATCATCATTTTTAGATTGGGTGAAAGTACCATTATTCTTTAGACATTCGAGGTATCCTTCAACCAATCGCTCGATGATAGCTTCTTTTTGAGGATCACTATAGAGCTTTTTGAGATTGACAAATAAAGACGGGACCCCTTTACGAAGTGCAGCTTGTATATACTCATCTGCAAACATCTTAAAATTATCACCTATATAAAATATTCAACAATGTTAAGATTAAGTTGCATGGAAATAGGTTAATATTAAGCAAGATTTACTAACAGACCGACCGGTAGTATATAATAAAGGAAATAGTTTGATCGCGTTCGACTTTGGATATTTTTGGGCTAGATCTTTATACAGAGCGATGATTTTTTCTTCACACTCAGGTGTCAAGTCGTCTAGAGAATTATCCTCAACATTTAAATAATTATTTCTTTTATTTTATTTTTTTTATTTTTTTTTTTACGTTGATCATCTTATTTTGTGGATGAATCAAATGATACACATACTAGTATTAATCCCCTTAGCTATTTGAAATCCTTCA